ATGAATTTTTAAGTCTTCTAATTTAGCTTTAAAATCAGTCATGTCATTATGTTTAAATACTCTAACTTCAGCATTAGCAGATTTAATACCAGTGATAATAGAAGAATGATTTAAAGCATCAGAAAAAACAACATCTCCTTTCCCTACTAAAATAGGAATTAGTGTAGAATTAGTAGCAAATCCCATTGGTACAACAACAGCAGCTTCCTTATGTAAAAATTCAGCTAACATACCTTCCAATTTTTTCTGTTCTTCAGAAATACCTCTTTCAGCAGCAAATCCATTACAACTACTTCCTTTCTTTTTTAAGCAATCAGCAACTTCTTTTGTAACAATTGGATGTCTACCACCAAATCCAAGATAATTATATGAACCAAAATTAATAGCCTCTCTAACTTTTCCTTCTTTTAACACAAGGTGTTTTGCATTTTCAATAGGTACTTCTTCTCGTAAACCAATAATAATGTGATTTTCAGGAGGACCACAAATAGGTCTATTAAAACAATCGTATGAAGTAGAATAAATCTTTCTGACATAAAAATCTTCTGGACTTTCACCAATAATTGGAGGCTTTTGATCATTAAGACCTAACCAATAAAGACACCAATCTTTATAATCACTGACTTTAGCAGCACCAATCATCCAATAAAAACCATAAGTAGCATGTTTTTCAATACCAATATACCTCCATAATGAATTCCAAGTTGATAATTGATAATTGTCGTTATTTTCCATGAAGTAGAGTTAAATGAATCTGGTAAATATCTTTTTTTGTTCCTTTATATATTTATCATTGTCCATTCTTCTTGAAAGATCCATCTTTCTTCTTATCAGACACTTTCAGACACTCACTTTTTTGTTTTTAATCTTCCCTTTTTAGAAATTTCTTTTTTGTTGCTCATTTTTATTATTATATATAGTTTTCTTTATTACACTTTTAGTTCTACTCCAAAGCATTTTGTGTGATCATCTGATGATTTTCATCGTTTATTTTTGTAAATTCTGCTGCAATGACCTTTTCAACTAAAACAGTTTCTGTGACAATATTAAATTTGATATACCATGTCAGTAAAATTTTTTAATTATTTTTTACCATGTGGTTACAATTTGTCTTAAAAAAATAGAAACATTCAATTTCCTCATCAAACTGAAACAATGAAAATATGAAAAAGTTATATCTTATTTATTTTTTATGAATTATACGTAAATTTAACATCTATTGAAAAATATAATCTTAAAAAGATGATAATAAAACCCTGATTATTTTCAAGCCAAAAGTACTTTCGTTTATTTAGGAATGTTAATTCGGTTTTTTTGTTTTCTTTTGAATTTGTCCTACTCCATGCCATGAGGACTATTTGACTTTTTCTAGTCTCATTAACAAGAATTTTATTATTAACATAATTTATAAACACAATTTTCTTTATAATTTGAGTTATTACTTTTTTAACAAAGGTATATATTCATTAAATATATAAAAAATAAGACTTTTCATTAAAAACACCTCAACTATACCTTTTTGTATTATTTTTATTTGCATTTTTTAATGTTTAGTTTCTTACCAAAATGAAAGCTGGTATTCTTATTTATTCATAAGAAAAAGACTTTTTAAGATTCATTAATTATAAGATATGAAAAAATTAATAACACAAAATTACTTATAAATAACATAAATTTATTCAAAGAGAATGATCGATTTTTGTAATTGAGATTGGTGTAAAATGTTTTGGTCTATGAAATTCTTGAATAGAATCAGAAATTCCATTGTTTGAGTAAGTTTCTCCGATTGACTTTCTTCTATAACCATTTGAATTATTCTTTTTTATTCTTGGGAGTTGTGGTATTTTTTCCCTATAATCAACGGGATTTTGAGATACTTCATTTGTTTTTGTGATTGCCTTATTTAAATTAAGATACGTTTTAGATCTGACTATCTGTTTTTGTTTTCGTTCCATTAAGTATTTTAAGTTATGACAGATAACTTTTATAATAATTAATTTTTTTTTTGACGACAAAAATTATTTTGTTATTTTTGACGTTTTCAACAAAGTTTTTTTGTTTTTTTAAAAAACAAAAAAAGTTGTTAATTTACACAATCTCAATTTAATTTTCTGGTAGTTGTGGGGTCAATTTATTTTTTAATATTTTTAAATAATATTTGAAGAACTTTAAGTAAAGATTTGTTCTATTTCCTCCATAAAGAATAATAAAGAATAAAAAAGATTTTTTATTTTTTGAAATTACTTTTAATACTGTAAACGCCAAGCAAAAAAGTATAACGCATATATGTTAATCTGGAAGATATAAGGGGTTGCTGTCAGTTCTCATTTTTAGGTTGTCAATCATTCTATAATTAATACCAGACAAAACATTTTAATAGAACACCATTTTTTGTACTGATAAGAAGGAAACAGTAATCAAAAGATAAACAACAAATTTATATAAATAACTCAAGTAAAAGTGGTTTTTTCAGTCATTAATTCAACTTCTACCGTTGGGAAGTAAAAATATTTAGATAAAAATTCAAAAAACAAATACTTGAAAAGTACTAAATATAGTTTATTATGTACACTAACTACATTTACACTAGTACTATTTAAAGTCAGATTAGATAAAAACAGATGACTTATTATGGGAAATAATACTTCTCATAGCTCACTTAAAAGACCACTCACTGGGTCACTTGATAGTAATCCAGAAAGATTATTTAATTCACCCTTTGTTAGGATACAATCTTCTTATGAACTAAATAAATACTCTTCGTCCTTTTATAAAGCAGAGTCAAGTGATGAAGATAGTATACTTGAAATACCGGAAGAAATAACTTCTTCAAAACCTATGGATATTAAGTCTAGAGTATCTTTTGGTGATAAACTTGTTCGTGTTGCCTCTAGTCCAATAAAAAGATTAAAATCATTTGCAACACCAAGAAGTGCTAGAAGACATAATGAAATTAGAGAAGAAACAAAAATTATAGAAGAAGAAGAACCAATAAATGGTACACTTAATTTCCTTCTGTTTAAACTTGGAGGAGAATCTTTTCACATTCTTTATGACTCTAAACAACATGGATTTGATCCAAGAGAATTACGTTCAAGAATTGTTTACAAAGAAAAATTGATCTTTGTTTTTAAAACAGAAAATGGTTTCATTGGGTTTTACCAAAGTGATGCCATTATTCCATCCTCTTCAAAAAATCCTATTCATGCAGAATCAAATGATTTTTTCATTTTTGCTATTGAAAACAAAATTAATGAATCTAAAATCTTTGAAAGAAAAACTAATGAAAAGAAAAGTGTTTCTTTATTCACAGAAGAAAATCCAACTTTAATCAATTGTTATTCTGCTTTCTGGATGGATACAAACGGAATGATATCTTTCAATTTTTGTGCAAAAAATCTTTATAACTTTGATCAAGGCTTTGTAAATCCATTTAAAGGAGAGTCATTACAAAACAAAGCTGAGTGCTCAAGATTTTTGGTATTGAGTTGTTTATAATAATATAATTTATTCTGTTTCTGAAAAGTAATCTTGTTTCTCTTTTTTTTACTCACTTTTTCGTAAAAACTTAGAAAAAGTCTTAAAACTTCTTATTCAACAAATTTAACAATGACATTCAGTAATACCCAAATTAATAAATTAAAACAATTTGTTGGTCTTGATAATTACGAAATTATTTTTGACTCTGATATTATGGAAATGACTAGATTAAGTTTTGTAAAAAGTATTGAAGGAAGAAAAGATATTGCTATAGTTATAATTAATAACTATAACCATATTTATGGATGTTATCAAAAACTAACAATAAAACATGCGCAAAATCTCCCTCAAAATGGGTATATAACAAATCATAATTATTGTGTTGATCCTTATCATTTTATTTTCTCATTACTAAGTGATTCAATCCCACCAACAAAATGGATGAAAGTTCCAACTCCCCAAATGGTTTTAAATCAAATTAAAATTATGGATACTCTGGAAATACTACCAACTAATTCGAATCAATTAGATGATTATATTTTCTGTGTAGCTCATGCTTTTGGATTTTGGAAACCCCAATTAAATGAAGAAGAATCAGCTTATACATTCTTTAGACTAAATGAAGCATATATAAATCCTCCGACTCATTTAGAATTAACTGGAATAAATCAAAGTAAGCCTGGATGTAATACATATTCCAAAATCACCCGTTTATTAGTCATTCAATTTTATTAAAAAGTACTTTAATAACTCGAATTTTTTTTTTACTTCTTCATTTAAAACTCTTAATTAATAAATTAACCTTTTTTTTCCATGCAACATGTTGTTATTAAAGCTATTGATATGAATGAAACAATGAAAATGAAAGCTCTTTCTATGTTCTTTGATGCATATCAACTTAATTCAACTGATCAATCGATAGCAGAATTTATGAAAACATCTTTTGATTCATTTTATGGTCCAACATGGCATTGTATTGTAGGAAATCAATTTAGCGCGTTTGTAACTCACATAGAAGGTAATTTTATTTATTTTATATCAAATTATAAAGCTGTAATGTTATTTAGGAGTGGAATAAAAATATAATAACATTCAATTTGAATCAAAATGAAGTTTAACTTATTTCTGTTGAACTATTTTAGATCCTTTATTTCTATAAGAAACAAATAAAACAATTATTAATTTTTTATATCATGAAATATTCATTTTTAAAAGTAAATAATTACAAAGTACATTCTTTAACCATTTCTTTAACTTTCTCTATTCCAATAATATTATTATTAAACTTACCTCTCTTCTTAAGTATTTTCTCTTCTTCTCTTTTTGGTTTCTTCTCTTCATTATTTTTATTAATTCCTTTTTTATTTTCTCTATTTATTGATTTAAGAATAAATGACATTGTTTGTTTAACACGGTCTTTCTTTTCATTAGAAAGACTATACTTTGGTTTTGGTTTTCTCCCTCTTTTCTTAGGCGTAACTAATTTTTTTTCTTTTTTCTTCTTTAAAGAAATCCCTTCTTTCTTTTTTAATATATCTTTTTTGATTTCTTTTGGTTCAAATAACTCTTTCTTTGTTTTAATAATTGGTGGTGGTAAATGTTGTAACGGTAATTCTATTAAATGACTTTTATTAACAAAACATTGGTTTAATTTATCTTTTGTATTATCTTTTTCTAATTCAACTTTTTCTTTAGTTTTATTCACTTCTTTGAGTTGTGGTAAGTCAATCGGAATATTTAGTTTTTCCTCTTTTAAATGTTCAGTTCTTAAAGAAAAAGATGGAAGAATAGTGTTATCATTATTATTATTATTGATTGGTTTCAAAGCAACAGGACGGTCTATTTGACTATCAACTTTGTTTGAATCTTGTAATTTTGGAAGTAAAATTTTATTTTCATTATTAAAATGATTTCCATTGTTATTACCTTGAGCCATTTGAAGTTTAACTTTCCTCTTCTTTGCTGCTTTCTTTTTTCTTTCAACAGGACTCAAAGACTTTAATGGAATAGTCTTTAATGGTCTCATTCCAATTCTTAATACTTTCTTATTTGAAAGCCCCTCTTTACAACTCCCAACTTTATTTAAACAACTTATTTTTGTTTGGTCCACTTTCAATCCTAGTTGTCGCTTCCATGGGACAACAAGTCGTAGTTGTGATTTTACTTTCTTTTCGTCTATCTTTTTTTCCATCTCTCTTTAAGTTAAGTTTCTCTTCTTTTTTACAGTTCCACTTCCAAATTTCATACTCTTCATTTTTCCTATTCTATCAGGTTTTGATCAAATTCTTTCTTGAAAAGAGAAAAAAATCTTTATCTTCATCCATAGTTTTTTTTTACTATTTTTTTGTTTTATTATTTACTTTTTTATATTTTTATAACTCTTTTAACTATTAGTTACTTATAGTTTCATTTATTTTCTTTATAATAAATCATGTTACATCAAACTTTTATTTTAAAGTTCTAGTTGAAATAACAAAAAAAAAATTAGTAAAATAAAGAAAAATATAAAACCATTAACAAATTAACAAAAATAACTAAAAGAAAAACCCTTTCACTAAAACTAAGATCCTGGTTAATCGAAGTTATGGTTTGTCTTACAGCATTAATTTATATTGTATTTGTGATTTTTATTGCTAATACATTTATATTTAATAAGGTTTATTCTTAGAAAAAGTTGACTTATCACTTTATAGCCTTTGATCGAAGTTGACCTTTTGAATCCAACTGCTGCCTCTGAAGCTAAGGCACACAAAATGAAGAGATTAGTCCCAACTCCAAACAGTTACTTCCTTGAAATTAAATGTCCAAAATGTAGTGCTACTACTACTACTTTCTCACATGCCCATAGACAAATTTTATGTCAAAAATGTGGACAACCACTTGGACAACCAACTGGTGGTAAATTAAAACTTACTCAACAATGCAAATTCAGAGTTAAGAAATAATTTAAATCTTTTTGATTGCTAAATATTCTTTATATAAAATAACTTGTTAATAAA